TATAATTATAATGATTATTGTCATGAATTAAAGAAAAATATGCARGAAGCTCATCAATTAGCTAAGGCACAACTACAAACTAGCAAGATTGAATCGAAGAATCGTTACGACCAAACGCTAARATCTCTAAACATAAACCCTGGTGACAAAGTAATGATGCAAGAAAAGCAAAGCAAAGGGAAACTAGCACCGAAATGGCTAGGACCCTATATTGTTATTGAATCTCACCCAGACTCTCCAAATCTAGCAATACAAAAAAGGAATAAACTAGTCACTCTGCATAAAAATGTATTTAAAAAGTTTCATGAAAGGAATTAAACTATGTTTCAGAATTAGCATGATCACTCTACAACCTATACAATCTTCAATCAAGAATCTCGAAATGAGTGATTTTAACAGASCATTCACACCAATGTTTAATGTAACATCCTTCGGAAACAATCAAGGACTGTACTATGAGTCACATGGAGATATTAGATTATCACATCTCAGTTGGAATTTGGTAACTTACCTCGATCTCGATACATTCATTTCGAAATACGCCATGATAATGAAATACTATGAAGCAACTACGGATATTTGTAAGAAAATGACAGAAAATTTTGGAAGCGTGGAAATATCTAACACTTATACAACAGTTTTCTCGAGCAACATTACCCTACTTAAATGAAATTGACGCAAATCATGCCTTTAGGCGTGTGGCCAACGTTCTACATGGCATGTGCTCAAAAATCGATATTGAATTCATAATAAGCAAAATAATAGAGTTAAAYAGAACCAAAGCTAACAGCCTAAACTTGATACCAGAGAAGATAAGAATAGCACAAACAGAATCAAATCACACTACACAGCAAATTGAAAAACAACAACAAAACCTGGAGGAAAACCTTCATTTCTTACAACAACAAACAAATAATAGTATTCAAAACATTAATAAACTAGAATTTAAAACCAGAATACGAGTATTAGAACAAGTTTTTACATTTGAAGTAATATTGAACRAGTATGCATATGAAACTCAGAACCTCGTAGCCGTATTAAATGCAGCAGTAGATGGAAAATTACACACTAGTATGTTCACACCACAAAAGCTATACAGAGAATTGTTGGAAATAAAAATGGAAATACCTATCGGAAGTGCTCTTCCATTGGAAGTTAACACTGAAACTCTAATCGAATTTTACAGAATATCCGAAATCACCATAATCCACAAAAATAATTATTTAATATATGTTATGGAAATTCCTTTAATTTCCAGCGATGAGTATACTATGTATCAACCGATACCATTACCAATACAATACAATGGGAATACAATAATACTAATCGATCCAGAATTAGACTATATAGGATTTAGCCGAGACAATGAACATTTCCTAACGCTAAGATTAGAACAATGGGAAAAATGTATACAAGCWACACCCTACAAGATCTGTAAGGACATTCAACAAATCCACCACAGTGCAACATCCGGGTTATGTGCTATCTCACTAATCACAAATCACCAATCAAGCTCGAATAATTGCAAAGTCAAGTTTTTATCCCTACATGCACCAATTTGGCATAAATTATCTCAAACTAACTCCTGGATATATTATAGTCAAACCGAGATAGGAACTATAACTTGCCAGAATTCGCCACAAACATCTAAAATTGAGATTTCAGGGGTAGGAAGGCTGACTTTATCTCCCTTATGTAAAATCCACATAGGAAATTCTATACTTTTCACAACTAATCGAYCMATTAAGAATACCCAGTATGATATTATACCAGATAATAATAAAAATAACTTAATGAAAAAATTGGAAGAATCTGTTAAGAATGTTTTGCCCCAGAACGTTACGAGCAACATCCCWATTAAAGATCTTAACMATTTAGYAAACATAGCATCTGATATTAGTAAGCTTCCACACGTTTCCTCAGAACCGTTATTAATATTAAGAATTGAATTTTATGTAATAATTATTTATGTATTTTCTATATTTTTCGCCATAACAATTAGCATAACAATTTATAAATTAAGAATTAATCGTATTAAAACATACAACCCTGAGATACCAGATAGTAAATCAAGTAGTAGTCAGGTTGAAATTCAAGTATAAAATTAATTGTAATCAGTAATTTTATTTAAATTTGTACAATTTGTAATTTTTATTTTATTTTTTTTCCCTCTCTTACTGTAATGCACTGACCTCCTCGGAACATTTCGGATCCTCGCAGACACTCAGGATTGGGTGAAACTTGGTGGTCATAGGACCCCCGTGTTTCAATTAGTCTGGGGGGTGTTACGAACCTCTGAATCAGATTATTATAAATATGAATAATA